GTGGGTGTGTGGTGTGGATACGGTGTCAGAGCAGGAATTCAGGCAGTAACCCGTGTTTTCCACAATTCACTGTCATTCAGAGACTTCACATTGACTGCGAAAGCACTGATAAAGTATTTACCTTTTTCTCCTTTCAGTACTCGAACAGCTTTGTGTGTTTTTTTTTGTCTAGACCGTGAACATTGCAAAGAAGGGGAGTTGCACAGAGCAAAGATATTCTTGCTCCACGTCTCGTTCTACTCCTGCGTTGCGGTGCGGTCCATTACAGCAGCTTCGAAGTTACCGCCTCAGACTTTTAATAGCCCGCTCTGTGCCTTGTTTATGTGTCCCACAAACTCACGTAAGGTGAGGAAGGGAGGTGCTCTCGGCTTTTAGTAATCGGCACTGCAGCCCTTGTGGTGTTTTCTCTGCGAAGAGAAGCCTGTGGGGAGTGGGCACCAAGCAGAGAAGCTGTAAACAGGAAAACTTCTCTGTCAAACTTCAGCCCTCTACTCAAAGTGCACTGATTGGCCCCCGGGGCAGAGCTGATGCCCAAGTCAGGCAAGGAAGGGGTGGGAAGCCTCGGAGGGCTCTGTGCAGTGGGAGATGGAGCTGCCCATAGGGAGAGGAGGGATGGGGATGGGGAGAGGGCAGCAGCTGCTGTGGCTGCCCAGGAACTACCATGGAGCCATCATTGGGCCGAAGTGCTGCTCAGTGGTAATGGGAGAGGCTCCCTGCGTCCCCTGCTGAGTACAATTCGGCCATGACCAAACGCTGGGGCTGGTGCCAGGACCCCGCTTCCCAGTTTCCAGCAGTGCAGGAGCTGTACCTGCCCCAAACCCCTGTGATGCAGGGGTGACACCACAGCGTAAGGAGTCACTTCATTGTGTGAACGCGGTGGTGAGTTTGCTCGTGCTCTTTGCCCACAGCAAACACAAGAAGATGGGGTCAGCCTTGGCCTGGTTTATAGCTGGATCATGCAGATGTGACCCTTGTTGCCTGGGCTGTGGCCAGGTGGGCGCTGGGCATCTCCAGAGCCCGTGGCCTCAAACCTGGTCCGGTACTTGAAGGGTTTTCCCCAATGTCCACTGAGGTTTCCTCCTGTTACGGATGGTGCCTCTCTTGTCCCCATGCAGCCATGAGAAGAGGCCATCTCCATCGTCTCCCCGCTCCCGTTGGCAGCTGCAGACCACAACAAGGTCTCCCTGTTGCCTTCTCCAAAAAAACAAAGCAGCTTCGTGCTCTCCTCGTGTGTCCAGAGCTCCAACCCCAGCCTCTGTGAGCTCCACAGGACCTGCCCCAGTATGGGCTGGGAACTGGGAGCTCAGGCTGTTACCGAAATATCGGCTCAATAACTTCCTAAGCCCAGTCTGTAGGGGTTACACAGCAAGACCTTCTTTAATTCAGCGCTGGGAGCAACCTAAATAATTTCATAAAGTGAATACTGCAAGTATTAGCAGTTGGCAGTAACTTATAAGTGCCTTACACATACGTATCCACGACATAGAAAGTTTACATATTCACTACATTCCCCGTAACTAATTAAAATATCTGCACAGTAATTGTGCACGCTCAATGAGCGTGAGGAACGGTCTCGCAGTGGTCTGAGCAGTGGTCACTTCAGCTGTGTCTGCATGGAGTCGTCTCACCCGTCAGGTTCCTGCGCCTCTGTGTTCACAAGGCCTGGCTGGTCAAGTTGGTCTGAGCAGGGCGATTCATTCACTTCTTGCCTATTAATTGACTTCTTACCTATTAATTCACTTCTGACCTTATCTGTGCCTCTGTCTCGCAAGGCAGAGGCAGCCAAGTGGGTCCCAGATCAACCCTGTCATCCTTAAGCAGCTTCCTCCTGGCTGAAGTCAGTCAGCACACATGGATACAAACATTTCTCATACTGTGCAGTCTATCGGGTTACAGGGACGCTTGGCTGCGTTGATACCACAGTAAAACAGCATCGTCTCTGTCAAACGGCTCTGAGTGTTACAGCTGTGGTAGTTAAAATCGTACAGAACGTTGCCCATGCAGATTCTTTTTAAAGAGATGTTTGGAGGGAAAAAAGAGAACACGCGAGCTTGATCCGTCCTAAACCTGTTCTAACTACTCTTTGGGTAACATCTGCAGTACACAGTACGGTTTTAGTACCACCAAAACTTCAGCAGTTCCCAAAACCAGAGGGGAAAACCAGACACAAGCCCCTTGCAGCCAGCAGGGAGAGACATTGCCATGAGCAAACCACTGGGCTCCTGAGCCAGATGTGGCCTCTGGAAGCCAGCAAATGCAGCATGAGAAGTGCGTCAAAGCAGCAGCAGCAGTGAGAGTCGGGGGTAAAACTGCCTGGATCTGCTGCTTGGGGAGCGGTGGTGAACAGGTCACTACCGGGAGGCCAGGGACACGCAGAGCATCGCCGGTCTCTGTCCTGGGCCCTCTCCTGCTTGACACCTTCATTAGTGATACGAACATGAGAGAGTGCGCTGGGAGAGACAGCGGGACGGTCATTTCAGACAAACAAAACCCCAAAACCAACCAAAACTCCAAACCAGAACATTTCCATTAGAACTGACCATTTCTAACGTGAGTCACGCGGTGTCTTTCCCGTGACCGACACAGACTGTGATGTTTCCCAGCACCACGCAATGAGCAGGGATGCTGTCCCACCCATCCAGTGCAGGATGGTCCAGGACCAACCCCTGAGCTGCCCCGAGCTCTGTCACAGCGGGACCCCACACCCCTGTTGATGGGGTCGCAATCACGATGAGAAATCTTATCTACGCAGTAGCAGATAAGCAGGCACTTCTTTATTGCAGCGCTGGGGAGGCACAGGGGACACCTCCTCTGTTTGTGCTCCCAAGACCACACATTTTCACAGCCCATTTATACATCTTTAACAAAGAGAAATCATACAAGCTTGCATAAGATGACGGCCTTTTAATTTGCCCTTTACCTGGGTTGGTTCCTCACCACCATGCCATATAAGACATTGCATTATTTCAAAAGCTTGCCCCTATATAATTTCGACATGGAGAGAGAAGAAAAGCCATGGCCTCCTCTCACGATTGTCTGACCACAGCTATTATCCTGCATGCTGTTATTTAATTCTTATCACAACCATTCTTCTCTTGAACATGGTACTTATACAAACAAATACTTACCCTAACTGCTTCATCATCAACCTACTTTAATTACCTTGCTTGGTCCAAGTGTTCTTTTGACTCTACAGCTTAAACAAACACCTGCCCATTTTAACCAACCCCAGTTTTCCCACGGCTGCAGCACCCCGACAGGGGGGCAGCCTCCCCGAAGGGGGCCCAGCCTCTCACGCCGCGATACCCCACGCACCCCCATTTACCGATGGTACCCGTGTACCACGGAGGAACACCAACCAACTCCCACGGCGGCGCGGTGAGCACCCAGCCTCGAACACGCTGGCTCAAGGGAGGGCTTCGGTTTGCTTTGGATTCTCACCGCACGCTGCTTTAAACATAACCATTTAAAAATGTTCCTCTTGTCCCGCTTCCCACCTGCTCAGCCTTTTCCCCGATGGAGAAGGGCCGGGATCGGGGGCCCTTTTCCCTTGGTGAGGAACCGAGCCTGCGGCAGCCGCGGGGACGTGCGTCACCGAGTAACAAATAACCGGGATGCGATTTCATCGGGCAGAACAGCAGCGGTTTATTGCTACAGCCATGGAGGAGAGCACAGCACAGCAGAGACAGGCCCTGCTGACAGGAACTCTGCCCAGCAGGGCCATTACAGAGCTTACTGACCTTTGGGCTATGCAACCAAACTGTGTCAGGATATCGTAGATAGCAACAACATTCTTTGGATCAGGAGGCTCTAACCAGCACACCCTTTAACAAGTGATTCACTCCTTTGTTAATTAAACCTGCAGAGATTGAACTAGAGTCCTGCTAAGGCCTAGAAGGCGTTACCTGTTCTACTGCCGCTCTACATCGAGCACAGGCACCCAAACCAACGCTGCAAGGGCAAACAAAGCACAGGACCCCCCAGCACTGACAGCACCGCTCACTGCAGCCCTTGGGGATGAGCTGTGGGACTGCTCTGCCTGCCCACCTACATCCGTATGGGTATTTATACAGCCAGAGCAGTTAATGGGAAAAACTGAGGTCTCTCAAAAACATCCTAGTGCCTGCATCAAGCAGCACTTGCTCTGATTCATTTGCTAGATCGAAAGGATTTCCCTAGCAAAACATCCCTCTAGTGGGCTGTCTGGATGAGGACCAAGACAGTTATTAACACATCCTTTTAATACTTTTCTCTTGCTCCAAGATAGATTTTTTTTTCCTCAGAAAATAACCTGGTTTTGCACAATTCCCTCCTCAAGGTTTACCCCAGAAATGACACACCTTGGCACGCACAGGAAAGCCAAGTGAGCAACCTCCCGCCTTAGCAAGGCGGTTCTGTGCTTTCACTGAGGTTTAACGGCACCGCTCACCGCAGCCGAGCCTCTGTCTGTGCGCAGCAAAGCCAGCAGTGTCCACTGCCATGGACAAACACTCCCAGCCCCCAGCCTGGAACCTGCAGAGACCAGGGTCGTGTTTTTCTACCCCGTGCTGCAAACACATCCTGCAAGTGGAAACCCTTCCTGGGAACAAGGGCGAGTTTGGCCTTCACCGTGCTCTTTTTCTTTGAGCCCTGGGCAGGATGAGAACCTAAGAAGGTCCCATAGCTCGCATCCCTTCTGCCTTGACTGGATCACAGTTGGTGTTTCTTTTCTGAGAACTTCCCTGCTGGGACCAGGAGCGGACGCGCGTCTCCCGCAAGCTTGCTGGTTGACACGTGGGACAGCATGGGTAGAAAAGAGACCTGATACTGCACGAACGTGCTCTTACACCATCTCCTTTCCCATCTGGAAGTGGATGGGAACCAAAGTCCTCCTGGGCACAGGCGAAAATGGTCCCTCAGTTTGCTCCTTGCATGTGGACACATCAAGCTCATAAACGGGCAAAAGGCTGAAGCAGAGACAGGCAAAGGTTTGGAAGGAAGCAGCTTGGGCAATGCTGGTTTCACTGCAGAAGCTTCACGTAATTCGCTGGGAAGAGCCCCACTTTGCCCCGGCACTGCCCCCGCCACCAGCCTTCATCCACCATCTCGATGTGTGTGATTGTGTCGTCGGGATCAAAGGAAATCTCGTCGTCTCCATCTGCAGAAACGGTTCAGAAAAGACAGCTAGAATGCAAAGGTACCACCACGGAGAGCTGGGTTTACATCCCTCCTCCCACCACAGGAGAACACAGAACGAGGATTCTCCTCATCCTCAGAGTTCATCTCGCCCAACCCCCGCCGAACAGCACAGATAAAGCAGAGAAGGAGCACGACTTCACAGATAACAGATGAAGCTGCAGTGCTCCCAAGTCAGGTCTCACATTGCTGTCCAAGAGGAAGACATCTAAACCACCGAGCCGAAATCTTTTCACCACTGCTGATGGTGTAAACCACCACCTCCCCATTGCACCTCCCCAGCCAGCTCCCAGTGCCTCTCCCACAGCCTGGACGGCAGACCCACCTCCTTGGTAATCATAGAGAGCCACGGCACAGGTCCCAGCGCTCTCCACCTCGTAAACGTTGTCCGTGTCCCCTGCAGAACAGATGAGAAAGGGGCTGAAAGCAGCGACAGAGACCTGGCCAGTGCCACCCTCCACCCCGCTGTGCCCTGGGGTGAACCACAGCAAACCCTATCAACGGGGACAGCGGTGCCACGGCTCAGAGCAGGGCATTGTGGCAGTCATGGGAAATTGGGGTTGGTTAAAATGGGCAGGTATTTGTTTAAGCTGTAGAGTTAGAAGAACACTTTGACCGAGCAAGGTAATTAAAGCAGGTTGATGATTAAGTAGTTAGAATAAGTATTTGTTTGTATAAGTACCATGTTCAAGAGAAGAATGGTTGTGATAAGAATTAAATAACAGCATGCAGGATAATAGCTGTGGTCAGACAATCGTGAGAGGAGGCCATGGCTTCTCTTCTCTCTCCATGTCGAAATTACATAGGGGTAAGCTTTTGAAATAATGCAATGTCTTATATGGCATGGTGGAGAGGAACCAGCCCACGTAAAGGGCAAATTAAAAAGCGGATATTTCATGCATACTTGTATAATCTTGTAATATTGCTTTGATAAAGATGTATAAATGGGCTGTGAAAATGTGTGGACTCGGGAGCACAAACAGAGGAGGTGTCCCCTGTGCCTCCCCAGCGCTGCAATAACGAAGCACCTGCTTATCTGCTACTGTGTAGATAAGATTTCTCATCGTGATTGCGACCCTGTCAACCGTATGACTTCTCTCCCATTCTGCAAGGAGAGAGGCAGGGTCCTGATGCTCTCTCTAGAAAAGGGCTGGACACAACTCCAGCCTCCACACGTACCATATCCAGTACCAGCACAGCTACACCGGGAACGTTAACAGCAGCCCCTGCAGTTTGCTTATGTGCTTGGGGAAAGACCACCCTGCGCTCCCCACAGCCAGGAGACACCACCAGATCAGGTCTGATGGGCGCCAGCAGTTTGAGCAACGGGCCTCAGTGCAGCCAAGGAAACAGCACACAAAGGCAAGGGGCATCAGTCCAGGTCCAGCCTCTCCAGCACCATGGCAGCCCCCTGGTCCTCCTGCCTGAGCCCTGCTCCAGCAGAGATACCCTGGTCCCATGTCCCATGCAGCTGATCCCGCACCTTGGAGCTGGGCAAGGCGGTGAGCGATGATGAAGTCTCCATCATCATGGGCCACTGACCTGACCACAGTAAACTTCAGGAGACAAATTCTCTCTGGAACCTGTCTCATACATCCAGGGAGGTGGGCGAACAGCCTCAAGCACAGACACAAGCGCCCCAAGACATGGGCTCTTCCATCAGTACTCACCCAGGCGGGGCTGGCTGTGGCAAGGCTCCCCAGGTAGGATCTCCTCATAGTCCTCAGCTCCATCTCCTCCATGGTCATAGACTGCATCCGGCTTTCCCAAGGGTGCTGGCACCTCCTCATAGTCAGCACCTCCACTGGTCCCGTCATAGTAGTCAGAGGGCTCCAGCAGCTCCTCATAGTCTCCGACATCCAAACTTTCGCTGTAGATGGGCTGATCCTGGCTGGGGGTCTGGCACAGCTCTTCATCCAGAGCTGCTGGCCTTGGTGGCAAGGTGGGTGGTGTTTCTTCATCCTCTCTTTCTGCCTCCTGCCATGAGGTGAGAAGGTGACGGGAAAGTCACCTGCAAAGCATCCACTGCAGGCAGCTCTCCCGAGACTGCACAGCACCCAGCACTGCACAGCACCCAGCACTAGGGAACCCCCTGCACATCCTCTGCACAACGGGGAAACAGCTCGGCCATTCGGTCTGCGCCGAACGCAGCCGGGGTTGCTGTGACGACCCTCAAGGCTCACGTACCTGAACCTCTCACAGACTTAGCTACAGCTCACTGCACTGACCCACTCCAAGAGCCCACCTCATGGTGTAAGGTGCTGTGCAGCCATCACCATCCCAACACATCCCCCCTCACTCCTTCCAGAGCCTCTCCCACAATGTGGCTGTGCCCTCCTTCTCCCCACAGGGCTCCCTGTAAAGCACAGCCCCTCCTGCTCTCCCAGCCCTTGGTACCTGCTCTCCCGGAGGCGCAGATCTGTCCCGTTCAGCACTGCCGGGCTCCCTTGCAGGCACAGCACCAGGGGCTGCCTCTGTGGGGTCCTTCTGTCTCTGTGGGATTTCCTGCTAGAGACAAGTCATCGGATCCCCTCAGTCTTTGAATGAGGTTGAGAGCAATGTCTGTTCCCATTCCCAATTCGAGAGAGGTTCTGCTCCCCCTCTGCTCTGCCCTGCTCACACCACAGCTGCAATCTTGTGTCCAGTGCTGGGCCCTCAGCTCCAGAAGGACAGGAACTGCTTGAAAGAGTCCAGCAGGGCCACAGAGATGAGGTGTGGATCCGGCAGCCATGGTGACACAGTGGCCTTGCCATGTTTCCTCACCATCCAAGCGCTATCACTTGGAGAAGTGACCACTGGGGAGCATCTCCTGCTGAGGAGCGGCTGAGGGAGCTGGGGCTCTTGAGCTTGGAGCAGAGGAGCCTGAGGGGTGCCCTCATTGCTGGGGATCCATTGGGAAAGGGCAGTGTCAGGAGGAAGGAGCCAGGCTCTGCTCTGGGATGTCCAATGGCAGGACAAGGGGCAATGGTCCCAAGCTGGAGCACAGGAGGTTCAAGCTGAAGATGAGGCCAAAGTTTGTGAGTGTGAGGGTGCAGAGCATGGCCCAGGCTGCCCAGAGAGGTTGTGGAGTCTCCTTGTGTGGAGACCCCCAAAGCCCTGAGGTGTTCCTGTGTGACTGCTCTGGTGATCCTGCTCTGGCAGGGGTTGCACTGGGGGAGCTTTCCAGGTCCCTTCCCACTCCTCATGTTCTCGGATTCTGTGATTCAGAAAATTCAAGTTGAAATCTGTTCCAGCTCCCATAAACCTCCCTGGACACAGGCAGGCCTGTAACAGCCGCGGGGTCTGCAGAAAGCAGCCTCAAGGAGGGAGCGTGTCGGGGAGCGCTTTACTCAGTAAACCTCAGTAAAACCTCATCTGCACACTGAATGCAGAAACAGCCCGATGCAGAAGGGGGTCTCATAAATGTGAGGGTTTGGGTGCAATCTCCAGTTTGGAAAACCCTGGATGGGGAGATGTGACTGCGCTAAAGGAGGAGTCCAGGCCAGCACATGGCTGGGTGCAGGCACGTCCTGGTCTGTGAGCCAGAACAGGGAACATCCACAGACAGCCGTGGAGCTCAAGGCAGGCCCTGGCAGCTGCAGTTTAGGCAAGAGGTGACTGTAGAGTTCAGGGAGAAGGACGTGGACCTGCACGGCCTCGAAAGCCGTGGAGGAGATGGCAAAACGGCCGTGGCTCACCTTGCGCCGAGCCTGCTGCCTCAGCCGCTGCTCCTCCGCCTGCCTCCTGCTCTCCTCCTCCGCCGACTTCGCCAGGTTCTCGAACCGTGACCGCAAGCTGCCGGTGCCGCTGGAGGCTCCTGTGCAGACGAGAGCCGATCGAGGCTGCCCAATGGCTCCCTCCCGCCACCCAGGAGAAACCTCAGCCACCTTCTCCTGCCCCTCATTACAGATTAAATCCACACCCCAGCACAGCTCATCCCTGCCACAATGAGCCCCACAGCTTCCCCCAGAGCCCAGGGGCTGGTCCCGCTGTCTCACCTGCTTCCAGGGGCCTTGTTTTCTCATACGAGGAGGTGGGAGCTGCCATCTCATCAAAGCCTGCAGCGCTCTACAAGAGGAAGGAAATGAGGTGTCCAGCTCGTTGGGCAAGGCTGAGATCCCCTGCTGGGTTTGGTGAGTGCAGGCTTCGCTCCCAGCCATGTCGCCCTCATCTGCACAAGCCACAGCCCTGCTCTCCTGATGCCTCCCTGCACTGCAGGAGCCTGCTGCCCCCAGCCACAGACAGGGGCTATTCCTATTTGGGGGGCATTCAGTCCCAAAAAGGACATGGAGGGGCTGGAGCGTGGGCAGAGAAGGGCAAGGGAGCTGGAGAGGGCTCTGGAGCAGCCGAATGCTGGGGAGCAATGAGGGAGCTGGGGGTTCAAGTGGAAAGGGTTCTCAGGGCCTGGCAGGGGCTGCCCAGGGCAGTGGGGGAGTCCCCATCCCTCCAGGGGTTCTTAAACCGTGTGGATGTGGCATTGGGGACGTGGTTCATGGCCATGGTGGGGTTGGGTTGATGCTGGACTGGATCTTGGAGGTCTCTTCCAACCTCAATGATTCAATGATGAAAGGACCCCAAACCCTGACTTCTTCACAAGTGCTCATCTGATCTTGCATGCTCTTTTCTGCCCCATGCACGATGCCTTGCCATTTGACAACGCACCTCCACTCGCTGCTGTCAAATTCTAGCAATGCTCATCTCTTCCACGGGCAGGACGCCATTCCCACTCCGCTACTGCCACAGCCTACATACGAAGCACGTAAAGCAACACGCTCCGTTGTGTTCATGTCCTTCCTTGGCTCAGGGCCCTGCAGAAAGGTCCTCATCTGCCTCCTCCGGTTCCCGAACATGGCAATGTTGGCACTGCACCAGGCACGACACCAGCACCGTGCCCACGGACACGTGTGGCTCAGGGAAGGCATCCTTGCTTCCTCCTCCAAATGCCCCAAAGTCTCAGCCCCATCCAGGATTCTCATCTTCTAGGTTATCCCCCTCCATGCAGGTCATCATCCGCTGGCAAGATTTCCCTCACCTGAACAAGCTTGCAGGGCAGCCTGCCACAGCACAGGGTTAATTCTCAGTGCCCCAGACAGTCTGTGTGTGGATGCTGGATGAGCCTTTGCCTGGCTTCAGCCCGGCCAGAAAACCCGAACCAGCAAACTGGATCACCTCTTCTCAAGCCAGGCTGATTGACCCCTGCCAATCCCATCCCTGCTGGGTTTTAAGGTTTGCAGACAGATGACCAAGCCCCAGCCTGAGTTAGCTAACTAAACAGACCACGAGAAACTCCTGGACAGGACAGCAAACCCTGCAGAAGGTAGCAAATTATAGAGCAGCTGATGAGTTAATGACATGAAGAACGGGCAGATTTCACCTTGAGGGGGGATTGAGTGCTCCCTCAGCAAGTCTGGAGATGACACTGAGTTGGGAGGGAGTATGGATCTGCTGAGGGTAGGAAGGCTCTGCAG